GGGGAGGCCCCTTAGCTCCCGTCTGCCCGCGGCGGGCCCGGCGCCCTCGGGGCTGAGCTCTGTGTGTGTGCCGGGGGGGCGCCGAGGCTGAGGCGATAGGCGGGGGTGTGGGTGAAGTTAAACGCTGCTGGATGACCCAGTTGAGGCTTTATTCATTAGAGAGGCTGCTGGCCCGTCTCCGCCTCACAGAGCGAGCCTGGGTGTCAAAGGGCCGGTTGCTGAAAGTTCCCAAGCGTGAGCCAGCGTGACGGCACTGTGTTGGGTTGTCAGCTTAATTTAACCGGTTCTGGCTTGTTATACCCAAACCTCACGCTGTACCACAACATCGATGTGTTAAAAAACAGCACAGGGGCAACAGCGGGTGAGGTTAAATGCGTGGTTGTGTCTGATTCCCTGCTAAAATGTAATTAATGGGGAAATAAGGGAAATATTGGATGTAAAACCAGTGAAATTTGTAGCATATGAGCCAAACTGTAATATGTTTTTGGTTACTTTATGCAGTAAAACATCTGGGGGATTATCCAGCCTTTGAAACCCTCCAAAATTAATTTTTCTGCCTACGGTTGCAACAACCTAGACTGAAGCATGTTTACAAGGTGTTGACTAGAAGCTTGTTTACTAGGTGTAGTAATCTTTCTAATCGAAATTCTGTGGTTTAGAAGCTTTTATTTTTTGGGCTGTAGATTGTAGTGTAGATAAGATTTCCATAAAATCATGAATGTTACAGCTAGCAGTGCTTTTACCTAAAATATTTCACTTCAGGTCTGTAAAAGTCAATTGGAACAGTGTAGAAGGCTGTGAAAGGTGGTGGCACATACAGAATACAAATATAATCACTTATAACAATGTCTTGTAAGTTAATGTTGGTTCCAAGTAGGTTTATACATAAACCTTAAGGAAAATATACATAAAATACAAGATTTATTTATCTTTGGGGGCAAAAACCACCGCAAATTTCAGGCATTTGTTTAGAATGTTAGCATTTACTAATACGTACTTTAATTTGTAAATGGATTGCAAGGGCTGATCAGTGTCAGTGGCCTTCCCTGAACTCTCAAGACCTGCAACTTCTGTGCAGGTGCTGGATACTTTAAAAACTCTTGAAATTGTGTGAGAGGATTGTGACATTTCATAGCTGTCTTGCAGCAGGGATTATTCAGCAGCGTTTAGAAATCTGAAAGCAGTGTTCAGAGGTGGAGATCTAGTGTTGTTCCTGCCTTCGGTACAGCTACTTGAATATTTCTCGGATGTCTGAGTGCCAGTCTGCTCTAGTTAGATGAGACTGCAGTGTTAGAGGGAGCAGAATTGTCCTCAGTGTGGTCGTCATGACGACTTGGATTCCCTCAAATACACACAGACAAGTTTTTTAAACTGCCATTAGAAGTGTAACTCAGAGTTCCTTAATTTCCATGTATATCGGTGAACCATTTAATAATTTATAATCAATACTTACTTATTTTTACAAAAAATAATGACAAGCAAAACCCTGTTTCTGAAAAAGTCCAACTCGTCTAAAATGCTAATTTTTGAGGGAGTGATGGGTATCAGGAAGAGGAGATCATTTGCCAAGGGATTTGGTTCTGGATTTCCTAAGATTGCTTTTGCTCAATGTGTTGATATTTCAGCTTTATACTAAAGGATTTGCTTCTGATGTGTTATATTTAGAGAAAATAGAATGGTCACTGGACAGAATTCTTATTCCTGAACCCAGGAAGCACCATGTATAATGTATAAACTTTGTCTGAACACAATATTCTGTGTGGAGTTTTAGTCTTTGCTTCTATGCAAGAAAGACCATGTGTTTTTGAAATGCCTTGGTTCCTGAAGGAAGCACTCTGTGTCCTCTGGCCTCGTTTCTCTTGGTGATGGGTTTAACAAGTCTTGTGTGCTGTGCCATCAGCTGTGGGAAGCTGAGTGTTAGCGTTTGCTCAGGAAGACTTTTTTGGTAGTTATCCAAGTCTCTTAATATTCTTGCGCCTGAAAGAAGTCATGATGTTGTGATGCTGGCAAAATAATTTATTCTTTCTCATGATTGTGGCTCTTAATGTTGTTTTTCTTTGCCTAGACCATGACAAAATGTTTAAGATGAGTGAAAAGATCTTACTCCTGTGTGTTGGGGAGGCTGGAGACACTGTACAGTTTGCAGAATACATCCAGAAAAATGTTCAGCTCTACAAAATGAGAAATGGTGAGTGAAGGAGAACAGTTTCTCACTGAGGGTTTGGAAGCAGAGTTAACGATAGGTGCAGTTTACAGTTGAATATTGGTGGCAAGTGCTGTTCTCAAAGCTTCTCTAGCTTTAAGGATTTCTGCATTTTTAGTCTCAAGCAGAGGTGGTGATGAAGGCAGGAGGAAGAAATTGCGATTGGATTATATAGTATAAACCAAGAGGTTTATCCAAAGCTCAGCAACTTGTTTGTAATGGAAACGACACAACAATAGGTTTGTTAGTAAAATATTTCTCTTATTATGTCCATTGCGTGACAACTGCTTTCCTGATACACTGGACTGAAAAATTCAGGCTATGTGCCCATAGTATTTTAATTTTTTGAAGCTATGTATTTTAATGGTCTATACAGGTATGAGCTACCTGGATTTTGAGGGCCCTTTTCATGCTTGTACCATTCAAAATAAACCGGAATTAGACAAATGGTGTAACATTTTGTCACTAAAGAACACCTTGTTATTTCAAAATAAGAATGGAAAGTCAGGAAGTGAAACATGAATATGGATTTGTACTGTTATCAAACACACACATTTCTTCTCCAGGTTATGAATTGTCTCCTACTGCAGCTGCAAACTTTACACGACGAAACCTAGCTGACTATCTGCGGAGTCGAGTGAGTAACAGCTGAAAGATTTTTGGTAAAGGCTTACAGGGGAAAATTTCCATTTTCGATTAATGGAGTCTGATGACAAAGGTGGCAGCTTCTGTTTATAGTAATGAGCTCACTTTGCTGAAAGGATGTTTTATTAAAATATAACTTGATTTGCTTATTTAAAAAACATCACATTATTTATCAATAACTGATACAACTACAGTCTTAAAATTCCAGCCTTGGGCCCAATAAACATTTTGTCACAAACGCTGCAGACAGCTAAGTGAATTAAGCCTCTTTAACATCGAGATAAGGTTGTCAGTTTTCATGCAAATGTACTGAATCCGTTTAATCTTCTTGGAAAATGATTTAATAGAGCAAAGCTGTTTGATGTACTTAGCAAAACAAGTCCTTCTTGTAAACAGCAACATGAGGCTTTCAGCAAATATCAAATCTAAGTTGGAGCTGTGTTTTCAAGTTACTAAACTGTAATCGCTGGTTTTTCTCACAGAAAAAAAATGTCATGAAGGGGCAAATGGGCTTTTAAAGATCCAAGGTTAGGAAATATTTTGTTAGCATTCGTCTCAACGTGCTATGTGAAAGAAAACAAGAAGCAATAGGATGTTGAGAATTAAATTGAACAACTCTGTCAGGGATGGGGCATGGGATAAATTGTGCTGCTATTCTAACAGTGTACCGCCCAGACCTGAAATGATGTTTTATTGCAGCAAATAAAGGCCAGTATTAACGTCAGAGCTGTATTGTTGAGAATTATATATGTGTGGAGTGAGGCCCAGACCTTTCTTCAAGAAGTCACCTGCAGAAACAACCTGAGGTGGTTGTTCTCATTTCTGACACGGATGCCAGCTGAAGGTGCCGGGTTTTCTGGTGAAGTTAGAGTGAGTCAGAACTGAGTGCAGAGTCCTGCCTCGGTCTCATACAGGACACGCTGCTCTTCTGCTTTAAATCACTTCAGCTGCATGGATTACGCGTGGTTGGTAGGTGATGGTTGGCGGTGATGCTCTTTGCTTTAGCTTGAAGCTCGGGTTGGGGTTTGGAAGGTCTGTGTGCGTTTTTGTGGAACTCTGTGCAGTTTTTGAGGTTGATGTGAAGGAATAGTCCTGCCTGGTGCCCTGGCCCAGCTGCCCGGTGCTGGTCGTTCGTCTCAAGGGCATCTGAGCTGCACAGATGGTGTAGGTGAGGCTGACACAGAATGTCCTGCCCACCTAAGCAGAAGCAGCCATTTCTTACATACAATTTAAAGTACCACTAACGGGAGTAATTTAACAGGCTTTTTGGTGAACTTGGCCACCAGGTTGTGGCATTGATGTGGCACTGTCGTCTTCCTCTGTGCCGTGTCCCTTGAGGCCTGATCCTCCCTGTGCCTCCCCTCCTTCCTGAGCCCACGCCTGTCTTCCAGCTCACCTGCTCCAGATGGGCAGCACAGTGGGAGGACACTGGCAAAGGCAGATGTGTTTATTTACCGGAGACAAAATGCTGTGCTGTTGCAGATGGCAATGCCCTGGAGCAAGTGGCGCACTCTGACACTACTGTCACACTACAGTGATCTCTGTACTGTAGGGAGAACTCTTTTTCTTTAAACATAGCACTTAATGATTTGTCTGTGGGATTTAGAATTTGATAATACAAACCTCGCCATCGGAATTTATTTTCCTGTGAATTTTGTTACATTTTTATCATCATTTGTAGGATACCAGAAGGATTGTCACCAGCTCTCTGTATTTAAATGGCATATAGGATTCCTGGAGGCTAATAATTTAATTATGCGGATGATAAAAATAAAAAATGAAAAGGTAAACCATGCCACCACCACCTCCTGTTGGGAGCAGGAAAGTAGTTGAGAAGTAAAAAGTTTGGTGGGAGGAAAAGGTAGTTTGTATTGCCACTCGCCGTGTGACGCTGTGTCTGTTCTGGAAGGCCAGAAGGGACGTGAAGGGCAGTGGCTGACACCGAAACAGCAGGTTTTCAGGTGTTACAGTGCTGTCGTAGCCCAGCCCAAAATAGAGCTTGGTCTGTGTTGTTAATCACCACCTGGGTTCCTCCCTGTGTTACCTAGTCTGATCTCATTTATGAACCTTGTGGCTGGTTAGGCTGGGTTCCTGATACCTCGGGGACTGCGGTCTTGTGAGGCAGCACCCCAAAGTCGTTCTTTTGGTGGAAAGTATCAAGTGTAATGACAGTGGGCTTGTAACTTAAGGCCATTACATTACTGTGCTCTTTTCTACTGAATAGTCAACGTGTGGCTTTTCGTGACGTTTCTCTTTTTAAAACGTGGGATTTATGCTCCAGAGGAGGATCTGAAAAGAATCTTTATTGCTTTCCATTTATACGTTGCGGTTGAGGCAAACCTAGAAGCTGCTTTGGAGCCAGCTGGCTTCCGCGTAGGTGAAACGGCGCTGTAGTTCCTCCTCCTCTGTTACCTGCTCCAGCATCTGGCTGGATTCACCTGCTGAATCAAGTGCTGGCTTTAGCACGTTTAAAACGCGATGGAGTTCAGTTTCTTCTTGTGATGTTAGGTTTAATTATAGGTGACAGGGTCTGGCCTGAGTCCAAAGGAAGACTGTCAGTGCCTCGGCAGGATGCTTCCTCGCGCCCACCTTTCCCCCTTGCTGTGACTTTGGCTTCTGCCAGATGTCACACGGCTGCTCATCACCGCCCGGCCTCCCGCTGCCGATCGTGTTGTATTTATCACAACTGTTCTCTTCAGCTGCAAATTCTGAAGAATTTCACACATCTCTTAATTGCTGCAGTTATTTTAAACCAAACAGCGTAAAGTGCAATGCTGCTTGGGATGAGAAATGCTGCCTCTAATAGGAAGGTTACGTTTGGAAAAAAAAAAAAAAAAAGAAATAATTCAAATCTAATCTATCCCGGAGTGTTGGCCATCCACTTGTTTGGTAGCCCTTTAATCACACCAGTCTTCCAAAGAGTTTAGAAGTGTTGGCATGAGTTTAGTTCCAAAAGCCAAGTCTGCCTTCAGAATGGACAGGAGGATTGAGATGTACGGGGAGTACCGGGCCCAGCAGAGAGACCCTAGTCCCACTAAGACACCACGAAGAGGTGCAGCCTGCAAATTTCCTTTGTAATCCTGGAAGTAGTAAACAGATTATGTATATTTTATAATGTTTAAATCTCACCTTTCTCGAATAATAAGAAGGCAGCATGGGGGACACTTTATTTACGTTTGAATTCTAAGAAGTTCTCTCGTAGACCACGAGCGGGAGAACTTACAGCCAGAAACCAGCGTACAGATTTGTTTGAGTCTGTATAACACCATTTATTTATGGTTGAGTATCTCGCATATGCCAATGTTGGTAATTCAAAGTCACACAATAATTTGAGTGATCTTGTGTCATGGCTCTTAAATATCAACTTGTGTGATGTTTCAGAATAAATAAATGATGAAATACAGACTAATTAAACGAATACAGCTGCCTGGTAACTTGTTTTCAAATATTCTTGAATGCTTTGAAGATTAAATCGCACAATTTACAGTGATATGTTTGATATATAGCTGTAGCCTGCTTTATTCTTTCTTACTACGTGGTGAAAGTAAAAATTAGAGTATCCTGTGATTTAATTTTTATTTTTTTGAGTGCAAATTAACTGTGCTTGGTGTCAAAATCAACTTTTTCCTATAATAATGTTTTGGCTTTAGGGTGAAATTGTGTTTGCTTGTTCTAATCAATTGTTAGTTGCATCATCATCATTTTTTTTTCTTATTTTGTTGCTTTGTTCAACTAGGCTTTCCAACATTTTAAGAGGTATCCTGTTAGTATGATTCATTTAATAAGAAACATTACGTAAATATGAAAATACTGGAAGTCTACGAGATGTTTTAAAAGAATATATACCATTCCAAAATTTTCTTCCGAGCCTACGTTTAAAAATAACACAGTGCGTGGATGTTTCAGGATCTTATAAAGTGCACATCTTGGAAGAAGATGTATAGGGACATCTGCTTTATTTGTTACGGCGGAACACGAGCTGTTCTAAACCTGTACTAGACCTGAAACATGAAGGAAATGGCTGAGGAATTGCTAAGCTTGCAAGTACAGCCCAGTAAAAAGCCATGGTTACATGGTCTTTTTGGGTAAGATGTAGCTATTTCTCAATTTTATTTGAGACGCCTTTGCTGAAGTCATGAGAGAGAATCAGAGGAGACAGCAGCTAAAGCAGACAAAGTTTAAGACGACTGTTCCCAAACAAACAAAAAAGCCACTGCTGATGTGATGTTGCAGTATTTTAGTGGTCAGCTTTGAATAGAAACAAACCAGTTCCTTAGATCATCTTCATTCACTTGGTCAAGTTAGCCTAATATTAAAGATTAAACTTGGTATGTGCAATAAAAATCTAACTGCCAGTTAACAAGACAGCGTCACGCTCTGTGTAACTGTTTGCACTCTGTGTAAGCTTTCGTATGTGCTGGAATGGTCTATGGTTAACAGCAGCGGGACTGAGAAAAGAGCGTGTTAAATTAACAAAGAGGTTCTTATAAACTGCAAAATGTCCACGTTGTGCTCACATGTTGACAGTAAAAATCTGCAAGTTTTACGTTGAGATGAAAGCATCTGGTGTGAAAACATAATTAAAGTTTTCTGAAGTTTGAATGTGCCGCGAAAGCTTTCTTAAAAAAACCCAAACAAACAAAAAAAAAACCCAACCAAACAACACACTAGTTTTCAGGAGAATCAGAGTTTGATGTTTTTATTTGCTTGCGCATTCCACATTTCCAAGAGACCCGAGCGTTTTTAGATGGAGACCCATAATCTCCTGCAGACAGCATTGATGTAGTTGCTAGTAGCGTTTTACGGCAAAGAATTGTGAAACCAGCTATGCTGCCGTTCCGTAGGTGGCGCGGGGAATGAAAGATTCAATGGTCTGGGTGTGGCTGCTCTAATGAAAACACCGTCTCTGTCTGCAGACCCCTTACCACGTCAACCTTCTCCTGGCTGGCTACGACGACCACGAGGGTCCTGCCCTGTATTACATGGATTACCTTGCAGCTCTGGCTAAAGCTCCTTTCGCAGCACATGGCTATGGTGCGTTCCTGACCCTCAGCATCCTCGACCGCTATTACAAGCCAAGTAAGTCAAGTCTACAGAGAAAAAAAATTCTCCTGTTACCGGTTAATAAATTAAAGGCTTAAACTGAGCGATTGACATTTGCTGAGTCAGCTGGTCCAGCGCAATTGATGTGATGCTACAGATTTGAGTTTGACTTTTTGTTAGAAGGCAATCTTTAAAGCTGCATTTATTCTGGGTTTGCTGCAATGGAAATATGAAACTAGTCAGCTCCTTAAAGTGTGTTTTCCTGTTTGAAGCGTAACCGACTCTAAGTGAGGGAAGTTTCAATTTATTCTAAAACATGACTAGACTTTCCTGGACCATTAGCTGCTAGTAGTCTGTTTTTAATAAATGACATTTTGATAACTTTATCTTCTACATGCTTGTCTGTTGGCTACGACGTGCGCCCTTTCCCAGAGCGTTGAGTCTTCAGAGGGCAGTCCCGGGTCCTGCTCCTCTGTATCTCAGATTGGCTTTGTGTGTGCTACATTAAAAACATAAAAGTGAGAAGATACTTCTCGCAAGACTACTTTTAGCACTCTGAAGTGGTGGCGATGAAGATTGGTTGGTTTGGTTTTATGCACGTGGTAGCTGTTGATCGTAATTCTTGTACACGTCTGTACGTGTCTAAAGTTTTAATTTTAGAATCATAATCCAGTTCTTACACTGCCAAGGAGTAAACATGGCCCCATCCCCACTTTACAGATGAGGAAATACACAGAGCTTGGCCTGTTGTTAATCTGATATCTTTGGCTTTAGCTACAAAACTACTTCGCTCCTGTGTGCAAAGACGAGTTTAATCTCATAGCAGAGGTGTTTGCTTAATAATCCTTTCATCTGTATCCTGCAAGAAGTGTAGCTGTAAGCTGACAGCCTTGTTCTAAGGCCTTGCCTGAACGGTGGGTGCAGGTCCAGAACAAACTCTAGAAACCGTTCTTAAGATCCCCAGAGCTTGGTTATTTTCTAGTCGTGTCCCTTGAAAATTACACTGCTCCATTTTCATCATTCCTTGTGAAAAGAGAAAAGTAGCGAGCTGCAATACGTTGTCATGGCTCGTCATCCCTGTGGAGTGCTGGATTTTATCCTAATGTGTGAGAATAGCAGGGGCATCACACACGTGCCTTTGCCATTATTAAAACTAATACCCAGCAGGGAACGCAGCACTAAACCCAACCTCCGCCTACTGTCACTGACTTGCAGCCGGCTGTGGACAGATGGAGCTGATTTAAAACTGTAATAAACTCGAGGAGAGAGAGACGGACGGACTTCTCCGAAGCCCGGTCCCTGGCCATGGGAGGCAGAATTCCGTCATGCTTCCCGTTCAGTGTAACAAATCGATTCTCAATGGCTTGTTGCAGTGTGAGCGCTTCGGTGCGGGGCGTCCTCAGTACATCTGGAAAGTGTTTTCTGTGAGCTGGGAAGGAGAGGTTTTGGTGCTCAGCTGAAAAGTTGTTTAAATTTAATAAAGTTTCTGTTGAGAGAGATGGCCTCTAATTAAATCAATCTGTGGATGTTTTTCAGGTATCACACGTGAGGAAGCTGTGGAGCTCCTAAAAAAATGTCTAGAGGAGGTGAGTTGCCAAACTTGCGCCCTTATGATTTTGAGAAAGGAGCGTTTGTTTACATTCATTCGCTGATATTTTCCTGTTCCTCTTGTCGCAATTTTTTGCTGCCTTTGCCAGAAGGGGTAATAAATGTACGTTGGCCAGATGTGGAATAGCTACTGATGAAAAGGATTTGTGGGCACTTACGTTGTCTTAGCATGGTTCATGTCCTCCAGAATGTAAACTTGAGGTTTAATTGCTTTTCTTCACTTCTGCTTCTTCCATGCTTAGCATGATACTGATACGGACAGTCTTTGACTTTTTCCTTTTATGTTTCTTCTGAACGCAGTGCAAGAATCCTTCTGTTACTTGCGTTGCACTTAACTAGTACATACTCCTGAGTGTACTTCTCTCCCAGTTTGTGAAGTGATATCTGACCGAGGTAAAGATTTGAACTTGAAGTTCACAATCAGTTTTAGCATAAACCATTCAGACTCCATGGCTTTTATTGTAGGAAAATATTCTTTATCCTTTTCTTTAAGAGATTGAATTGAATGTAACTGGGAAGAAACATCAGGAAGAAGTACCCTAAAGAGGTTGTGTTTGAAGAATCTTTTCAGTACAGACACTTTGTGCCCTAAGTTGTAGCCCGCTCCAGCCTTCTTGCTCAAATGTCATCCTTCCTAACAAGCTTCTGTATTTTGCATCTCTAGTCTAGGCTTGTCTAACATGGATAGGCTTGTAACAGAGAACAAACTCACACTAATTGATTCCTGAGCAGGGAAAAAAAGCCCCACTCTGGTTCGTAATATTTCAGGTCACTGGAACCAGGATGGAAATTTTGATGTCCAGCAGCATATCCCTTAATTGATGCTCATCTCTTTTATTTAAGCTTTGAATGACTCTCATCTCTTTTGTCTCTGTCTTTTGTTGAACAGCTTCAGAAACGCTTCATCCTAAATCTGACTTCTTTCAACGCCCGGTTCATTGACAAAGATGGCATCCATGAAGTGGACAATATACCCCTTCCAAAAGCGATGTCCTAACCCCTGAGATCTTTCTGCAGCAGTCGTCTTTTTTTTTTTTTTTTTTTTGTTCACTTCTGTTTTTTTCTATTCATTTGAAGCACACAAGTCATGTACTGCACTAGGAGACTGAATAAAGATTGACATTTATATAGCCAGTTTTATCTTTTTATTCCACTGATCCTTCCTGAGAGTATTTAAGTAAATTGTTCCACAGTGGAGATGGAACTTGATTTACTGTTAACAGGTGCACATTTGGGTTACTGAACCTTCTTTCCTCTTCTGAGATTTTACTCCCTGCCCCCCTCCTTAAGTCTTTTTATGTATGGAAAAATTGGTGCTACGTTTTCTAGATGACAGTGTGCCGTCATCCACTCTCACAATTAAAGCTCAGCAAACGCTGGGCAAGTGTTTCATGCTAAACATACAGCATCTACTTTCTTTTTCTGAAGATGTTATCACTGTTTGCTTTAAAACAGTAATAATCAGGTTTTCAAAGACTTAATTTGCTTTTGTTACACTTTGTTTCAGTCCAATCCAAGTGAAAGGTGAAAGAAAAAGATTTGCAAGTAGAATAGATTTTAAAGTGCTGGTGTCGCTTTTAACTCGCCTGCCCATGGTTCTGTTGCTGGGAAGGAATATTCTCCTGCTGGCACGGTAGGCTCATAACTACCTTAAGTATTTTAAATGCAAACTGATGTATCGATTGCATGGTTTTTCTTAACTGGTGTGTCTATACATTGAGAAGTACATGAAAGCAGTTCAACGAGAAATAAAACTGCAGCACTTCTGTAAATCTTCGAATTGCCCTCAACTAGCTAGAGCTTTGTTTCCATGAGAATAATCACGGATCTGTCTAGGCTCTAGATGATGCTTCCCTATAAAAGCTCCATTCACAGAACAGCCTCAGATAATTCTCATGGGGTTGATGCTTGCAGTCTGCCCAGAAGTGATTCTTCTGAGAATAATTTTCATTGAGACTGCTTCCCAGCTTGAATTTGCATTGAATGAGTTAACCGCTTAAACCGCTCCGTTTGGGTGCTTATTTTATATTTGAATAAGCTTGGAAAAAGAATCTTGGAATTAGAAGGAGGGATGCACAAGATTGCGTGCGGACTGTTACTCGTGCAGCATGGTGTAACACCCAGGTTCGCACTTGGGAAAGGTAAGTGTCTTTATTTGTCAAAGCTTTTTTAGTCTTGCCTCAGCAGCCTGTTAGAGAATGTTGGTCTCTTCCCCAAAAACTTTCGGTTAGTCTTAAAGATCAAGAATTCCCTTCTTAGTGAACAGGAGAACTGGATTAGAGACTGAGACTTGCTTTATGTCACAGAAGAAATGTGCAGCTCCAGTGCCTTAACTCATTCTGACTCTCTTAAGACTGCCCTTCCTTAAATCTAATTCTTAACTGAAGTCCCATCAGGCTTTGTAGTTTAATTCTTTCCAGAATGAGTTTAATTATCAGCTGGTTTTGTTGTAGTCATGGCTGCAGTGGCTTTTATTTAAGGCCTATGGCATATAACCGAAACGTTTTGCTAAAATTTACTTTGTCTTTTAAAAACCTTTTCAAACTTCTTTACACTAAGAAAAGAAGTCCCCAGCCTGATTATTTTCTCTTGGCAAGTCACATTTAACGTGAGCAGAGTCTGAGTGTTATAGTTCCGCAGCTGAAATCTCACCCCTTCATGTTGCATTAATGTATTCGTTTAGCTTAATATGCAGCATCTCTAATTTATTTTACCGCTGATGTTGAATGTTTTTGCAGGTTTCTTGTCTCTCTTTTTCAAAGTCGTCACTGCAGAGTGGCTGAGCCGATGTGCTATTTTTGTCACTGCATATCAAAGTAGTAATGTGGCTCCTTATTGGAGGTATTTCGTTATTTCAGGCTCCAGAACTGGGGTGTGGTGCCATTAGATTATGTGAGTCTGGCAGAGAATCTGCCTGGAGTTTTTACTGGCACCTATTTGCATGCAGGTGATTAATAAACATAAAACAATTATTCCCTTGCAAACACCCTTGGTTGGATTCAGGTTGGAGTGGAACATATGTTTTGCCTGAGGGCAGGGCCCAGGATCTGAATCCCCCATTGAGTGAGAGATAGAAGGGGTTGCATCAGAAGCCAACAGAGCAGCAACCTCTAGGAATGACTAAATACAGACCTTTAGTTCAAACCAGTAGAACAAAAGAACTGGCCCACAATGAGATTGGACTCTAATGAAGTAGATTCTTTTGAGGACATTCCAAGAATTTATACATTTTAAGGAAAGGTGTGATGCTTTTGCTTTATAACTTTGGATTGTTTTAAAGCTCTACAGTGTTGATCTTTAAATTCAGAAACATTCAGCTTTTATTTTTGACTAATAAATGGAATCTCTTCGAAAAAAATCAGTGGTTTAAGTTTTCCGTTCGCATTACTTAAGGAGAAGAAGACTTCTTACCTGCTTCAATTTTAGCCCTGAAGTTTTTGGAAACCATGTATTGCCTAGAATCCACGAATCCCTTTTGGAAAGAATTCACCTTTCTGTTCGAAAAGCATCTGCATTTATCATGACGGGCCTCTCCTTCATAAGAAACCTCTGACATAATTGAGCACTGCAAGGAAAAAAACTGCTTTCTACTAACAAGTTTTTTTTGGTCCTTCATATTATAGAAAATGAATGTTGTAAACCAAGGTGATGTATTCCCAGGGCATTGTAGCCACAGTGAGCTGTTCTGCTCTGCTTTGGCTGGTAATTCTGACCATATGTCTTGCTACCAAAGCCTCAGGGCCTAAAGAGTTAACAAGGCACTTTTTCTCGTTTTAGGTTTCCTGTTTAAAGATGGGCTCTTCCTGAGCACTGTGCATGTAACAGATCATTGCACCAGCTCATCTCTTCAAGAGCTGGAGTTGGCTCTAAGATCAGTTTACAAGGGAACTGAGCCTCTGTGCCTTAGGCCACGTTACGTTGGGAGTGCTTTGCTGAAAGAAGTATGTGAGTGTAGGTGCAGTGCTCCTGGGTCTGTCTTCGACCTTTTCACAGAAGAAAAATCTGCATTTCGTTGTAGGCCTTCATGTGTACTAGAAACATTGGTAGAGAGGAGATTGTCAGTACTCGGCTGGCTGGCATGGTTGTACCTAGCACAAGGTGACTTAAAGTCATCGTGAGTGATGAAGCTTCTCCCCACGCGGGATGGCGTCAGCCGAGCACAGACATGCGATTCGAAATTGAAAAGGCTGAAAGGTAAAATTTCCTCCCCTATCGCTGTGTTCACAGCCTCTGTGTGGAACTGCTGGTGGGGGAGAGTGCTCCACATTGATTCACTTACGTTTCCCCAAGATTTCTCCAGTCCAAGAAATCCATGACCCCGCTCAGTTAAAGCAAGAGGCGCTTCAGCTATGGTAGGTAAAAAGCCTCGGGCAGGGACAGGCTTTTCAGCGTCAACCTGACGTGTTTGGAGAAATCCCACGGAGTATTCTCAGCAGTCTTTGAGTCTGGCTTCTGTTCACGGTGAGGTGATGAAACAGTCGCTGGCAGAAACTTTGTTTGCCACAAAATGGAGCTGACACTTGTCAGAGTGAAGATGGAGGAGCAGAGGGGAGAGAGCTGACCAAACTCTCCCAAGGATGTGTTTGCATTTGCTCCCATCTCTAGTTTTGACAGTAGGTTCCTACAAGAAGTGTTGGCCGATGCCAGGGCCGACATTATGGATTATGTTCGTGGTGTTTAGGATTGGGTCGATTCCATTTTCCAATCTGAAGCAGGGTCAGAATATCCCATTTGTATAAAATAGCTTGACATTTAGGGAAGGAAGAACCTCTAACTTTGCTCCCTCTGAAGCACGGTACATATGGTCTGTAAGGAAAAATAAATTTATCCTACTTGTAAAGTTTATCCTTCGAGCCATTTTTAATTCTCTTTCTTTAAAGGTTTAACCTTATACGGAGTTTCCATGTGTTGTTATCAGTCTGCCATCAACAGTAATTAAGTGCAGGAAATTTTCATGTGAGCACTGATCAAACTAAACAGACATAACAGATTTTTTTTTTTAAAAAGCAAAATGGAAATGGTGGAATTAAAATAGGCAACTTCTCCGTTTTCCATGCTCTTGATTATGTTGGTTTGTGCGCTGAGTTGCTGAGGTCTGTGTTAAAAAATGTTACTTGTCTTGAAAATGTGAAGTGACAGTTTAAGTGTTTTGTTTCTGTGCTAATGTGCAATTAGGTAGTTATCCAATAAGCTTGGTCATGTAGTCTAACTCAAGACAGCTGTGGAAGGAAGAGAGAAAACCCTTTACTGTTGAGGAATGGGGAGAGGGAAAAGGATGGTTAAAAGATCTGTTTGAGAATTGCCGGTGTGGCGTTCTTCCTCGTGTCATGTGGTAGAGCATTAAAGGTGAGCAAGATTTGTGAAAAATTAAATTCTGCTGGTGAGATCTACAGAGGTGAAACTAAAACGTGGCTAGATCTGAATACCAGCGCATAGAGTACGTTTGGATCCATAAATGAAGGCAACCATACAGGGTGGGGCCAACCCAATAATCTCATTGTCTGACGCAGGGACTTGGCTGCTGCACTTTGACCTGGGTGAAGTAGCTTTTGCTTCGTAGAGGCTTCCTTGATGTCGCCCAGTATTTCTGGTGTCCATGCACAAGTAGGAAAACAGTGCATCTCCTGTAGTCAATTTACAGAAGACAAAGCAGACTCCATCACATTTTGTGTCGGTGGTTTTTAGGATTATTGACAGTCTCCTGCTCGAGTACCACCAAAATGCCCGCGGGATTAAGCGACGCTCAAGCTCCTCTTGCTAATTGTTGCCCTTGAAGTGCAGCAGATGCCATTGCCCTGCTCCCAGGGCTCTTGGGACTCTCTGGTTGTGGAGGAAACCTGTGCACCTCGCAAGCCTCTTCCTTCAGCAGAGGGCAGTGATCTTGCACACACACACACACACACACACACACACACACACACCCCGCCGCCGCCTTACCGGCCTGATTGGCCTCTCCACCTCTGCAGATCATCTGGTGGCCACAGAAACTCAGCCTTGCAGAGAGCAGGTTAATGCCTTCTCCAGCAGCGGCAGAGAGGAGGTACGAGGTTGTTTCTTCCCTTGGAAGATGCACGTTTTATTTTTCACAAATGTCGAGAGAGTTGTCCGGTGAAACATAATTATCCATGTTTTCC